ATATTCCATTCACACTCCTATTACATTTTTTTACAGTGCATTGTCTGATTTATGTCTCATGTCATCACATTCACTATTATGTCCGATGATTTTTGGTTCAAAACCCCAACCTGAAACAATGTCAGCTTATACCATTTTGGATGTTTTCATCCTAATTTTGCAAAAACTGAGCTTATTATGTTGACATGGCAGTGTCTTATTCAGACTATTGTCTGAACTAGGTTAATATTAGAATATGGTGTCCATGTAAACATAGTCATTGTTCCACAAAACTTTGTCCTTCACACCCTCCCTCTTGCTGCCTTTATATTCTGGCTCCATCCTGTCCCATATAAAATGTAAGTACTGCATGTTCCCTGCCACTTTTAGATCTTTCCCAGCTTTTACTTATTCTCACTGCTGTAACTCTCCCTCTGCCACTTTTCCTTCCATTCTGTCTCTCTCGCTGTCATCTTTCTTACTTGTCTTCCCATCTTTTCAACCAATTTTCACCATTCCACTCTGTTAAGGGAGGAAAGGGAGCAGGAAACCGGTCTCTGAGACAGTAATGATTGGTCCTGTCGTCCATACAGTTGAACTGTCTGCAGGCTTGAACTGGTTTGTTCTGGTGATTCATATCAAAGCAGTTGGATAAAGGACCTTTAGTGTAAATTTGTCAGCAACCGGGAGAAAAAAAACCGTACTGACATTAGCTTCACCACCAGAGCTTAGAAAATAGAGACTTTGAGAGACTATCCTTTCACTGAAGTTAAAACCAGTCTTTAATTGGATTTATATGGTTTTCACATGATAGTGAACAGTGATATGTGGCCGACAGTGAGTGCTAATTCAGAAATGGAATTCTCTTCAGAGTGGTTGTATATTAGCTGATAGGGAGGGCAACATTAAACAGACAGAGTTTACAATTGAGTATGGTGTGATGTGCGCTGGAGAACAAAGAGAAAGGAGAGGGAGAAAGAGAGGAAGTAGCACATATCAGGGCTGAAGCTGGGGCAGCTCCCATTGTAGGAAATCAAAGTGCAGCTAATTGGTACAATTACAGAGACAGGACAAGAGAGAATACAGAGCTGTGTGTGTGCATGTGTCTGCACAAACACATTACACAGAGGCAGATGAGAGTACGCTTCAAGGTAACAATATTAATTAGTTACAAATATTCTTTATGTAGCACCAAATAAGTGAAAATACTTCATATGTTCGCCTCTCGGCAGGAGAGGAGAAAATCTTTGAAGTCGGAGCGCTGGGAGGATGAATAATTTACATCGCATTTACTGTATAATGCAGCTTGAACCTGGCTCAGCATTTATTTGCATTAGTGCTTATAACACTTACTGATCTGACCCTGACTGCTCTGTGTGATCATCCGCAGACTACTGCAAGCTCGCAGTGTTTTTGGTTTTATGTCTCACTGGTGGGTTTTTTGTGTTACTGGAAGAACGGGAGTGATGATCGAAGGTGGCGCAAAGCGAAGATCAGCTTCTTGTGGTGCAGCAAGGAGGCCTGAGCCGGAGAGATGAGAAAAACAAACAGTTTGTGGTGGACCAACGCCATGCCTGTAAATCTCTTTTTTTAATACCCCGCAGTCAGGTTGTTTCCCCCTCACAACAATAACTCACAAACCATCCAATAGTCTCCTCTCATAGAGAGGCATGTTAGATAAAGTCATTACTGAGCTACCCAAAGGATTTCTCATGACCACACACAAACACACAATGCATTAACGCATTACACTTACTGAGCCTTACACACACACACTTCACAAATAATACACTAAATGCTAAATAATAAATAAAAAACTGTAAAAGACAGGTAGGCTATATGATGCAATGTCTGGCTGAACACATTCAGCTGGTTTGCTCATCACAAACACGCACACACTCACAGACAGCCGGCAATTATGACTTCATTCCCACTATTCGAGTCATCTGTGGGGCAGACAGGGCGATTCAAATCAAAACTGATATTGAGCGGAGCCGCCACACAGATGGTAATCACACCAGGTTTGCCCAGTCTGCAAAAGAAACAGAAACAGAAAGTGTGTGCTCGAGGTTATTTACCTCACCCTCTGACATAAATCTTGAGATATTGCTTTTACCACGGTAATTGTTTCAGCTTCAGAGCAACAACTGCAGCACTAATAACCCACAAAGACCTTTCCATTATGAATGTGGGAATTTAATGAGAGAGCAAAAGTGTTGGTTTGGTTTGGTGGTCCAAGTGGATTTCCCCTACCTGAGGCCTGTCTCCTCATAATTAAGTAACCTCTGTCTGCTCGCACACGTAGACACAGGATTTCTCATTTTGCTTATGAGTCTTGGAATATATAGACACACAATAAATCAAACTTTTTCGGTCCAACCAGTATACTGATATTATGGAGTAAAACATTGCAGATACATATATACAGTATATATGTGCATGTGTGTGTGTAAGAAATGATCAATGATTCTTAAGATGCCAATATCAAACCTTCATGACCAAGAACCAAACCTAACCAAACATATAGACCTGGAATTAAGAAAATAAACTTTTTTCACATCTATTCTGTGTTGTTTATTCAGTAAAATAAAAGTTTTCATTTCTGCACTTAACTGCAAACATAAACACATTTGCTGATATAATATAGATCGCTTTCGCTTTGCAGGTACGGCAGACAACATCACCATCTTTGGAGAGTAGTCCCATACATTACAGACTCACTAGATGAAACAAATAAAGTCTCCACTGCTACTAGAGGTAATACTTTAAAAGGAATATATCAGAAGAACAATCGTCTCTCTGAGTAGAAACTGCTATTTCTGTAACTACTACTCAGCCGTCTATCCACAGACCCTTATCCTTATATATTTAGAAAAAGAAGACAACTGTTCTGGCTTGTCGATGTGCTGGCAGTTTCCTCAGCAATGACAGTAAATCACGTAGTAGCACTGCAATTAGTCCCTATATCACCAAGCCGAGAGAACCAAATATTTTGTGCAGACACAGATTAATGTCACTGTGCCACTGCATTTTGTATTATGATCAAATGTGTATTTTTAAAGTTCTTGCTGCCTCTGTGTCTCATTCACACAAACATCCTTGCGTGCCTCCGTTTCTCCACCTCCTGCATCGTTTCCTTTTCCTTCAGATAGAAACACCTATCAGGATGAGCCTTTCAACCCCCCCCCCCCCGCCTGCATTAAGCTTTGCACATTTTCAACAGTCAAACCTCATTTCACAGCGTGACGTCGCCATGCTTGTAGAAAGGGGACTTTGAAGAGCCTCAGTATTCTCCATACTCTTCTAGGTGGCCCATCGCTCCCCGTGAAATCCAGAAGATGGATCCATAAATGGAAAAATGACTGAAGTGAGGTGCTTTTAACAGCTAAAGTATGTGCTTTGAAGTAAGCCTGAGTCTCGCCGCTCGTCGCCATCTTGGCAACACCACCGGGCAGCTATTTCTATTTCTGGATATCAAGAACTGATTAAAAAGCTTTTTTCACAGTTGTACTTCTACTACACATGCACAAGGTTTCACGACATCACATCATTGATTTCTTAGAATAATTCATAATTCTTGATGAAAAAAAAAAAACTCAGGCATATTTAGGGAATAACACATGAAGCCAGGCAAGGCAGCCCAAACTCTAATCCACCAAAGGTTAAGAGATTCAAGTCTTAAAATGCAGCCAAGTATTTTTAGTTTTCTTTCAGAATCATATCTTAGCTGAGCAGCTGCAGTTTAAGAACCAAAACATCCCATCTGAAACTGGGATGACGCAAAGACCTCTTTTTACGGTTACAAGAGAACTGGCTCTTAATGTCACGGACGCTCACAAGCTTAGAGAACTTCTAAGAAAATTTCAATCATGAATTTTGAGGTGACATCAGATGCAACAAACAGAGATTTGGGTTTCTTTTCTCTTCTGCTTGCTACCGGGTAACAGGCAACAAAACACACCCTGTTGTGACATCATATATCACCCATGGGGTTCTGCAAACAGAGGAGGAGGGAGATGGCCAGTTGGATCCGAAGCCATGTTTAATAAACAGAAATGTCTCTTTCTGGCAGGTCTGTGTGCATGTGTGTAGGTGTCCATGATCTGTGTCTAAGATCTCTTCTTACAAGCTCTTCAAAGAGTCACTGTTTACCTAAGAGGGGAGGAAAAGCCCACCTCTTCTCTCATAACACACACATGCAGAGACACAGACAGTGGGAGTACTGGAACATAATCCAGAGTCTCCTGAGAACAAGGCACACTTTATTTAAATAACTAAACCCGAAGCATGCAGCGCAACATCCAAAGTGCTCTTCCTAAATGTCTCTCCCTCTCACATCCCCTATACTGCACAGCTGCTTTTACACAGACACAACAACCTCTTCAGTTCCACAACAAGACCTGATGTTGCTACAATTTTTAACTATTTAGTGCAGAACATGATAGTCATTGACAAAACAGCCAGAATACCACAGTGTTGATACCAATTGGTTTCATGTTATACTGAGTAATACAGTGGGCAGTGTAGAGAACTCACACTGCTAATGACAAATGACATCTTTGCTGCTCAGCTTGAAAGAACTCCACAACATAGAATAGACAGAATATGTCTTTTAAGAGATGGCGTAAAATCAGGGTGTAAAGATTCTAAAACCAAGACTGAAACCAGGGTATAGATTTCGTTAATCTGGTATCGCAACCCAATAACTGAACCCTCATTTCTTCATCGACAAACTCTTTCTTCATTCTGCAAATAAATCTATAACACATTAATACATAAAACAATGTAAAAGCTTTCCAAAACCTGGTAGATGTGGTGACATGTCACAATAAGACTGGGCTTCCGCAGTTTGTTTCCTATAACAAACTAAAGCGCTGACATGCTGAAGAATAATTCTACAAATATATTCAATGTCACGTTATGTTGTGAAAATCTTGTCTTTTCCTCAACATTACATCACCACTGAGACCTTCACTACTCAGCCATGCGCATGTGTTCTTGGTGCAGTGTATGATACTCACGATCCAAGCCGTTGATGTACTTCATGCTTATCTCACAATGTCCCCACACAGCACTGACAATGGGATACAACTTCTTGCCTTTCAGCCCTCTGAATGCCACTCCTAGATACTGTCCATCAAACATGAAGCTCAGCGTTCCTTCGTCCATGTCCAGAATCACTAGCAAAGAGTCCGGCAGAGTGAATGATTCCTCAGGCTCCAGGAAACAAGGGTAAGAGGGCAGCGAGCTGTGCCCCCGGTTCTTACTGTCATGGTAGAGCCGGTTACGTCCCAGATCCCAGCCCCAGGACTCACAGTCTGACCCGACCAGTGCCGTGTACCCAACAGAATGTAAAGGAGCTTCTGAGGTTGCCACACCAACTACAGCATGGGTGCCTCGTTGCCGGGTAGGCCAGTGGATCCTCCACACATGCAGACCCCTTGTGTATCCAACACGCCCTCGGATGCAGTCTGTGCTCTGAGCAACCGGATGGCGATGAAATGTCAACTTATCCTCATCTTTGATGAAAATGTTGAGCGAGCGGTCATCAGGGTTCCATGCATGACGGAGCTGAGTGTCTGGTCCAGCGCATGGCATGTCCAGAAGTAGATCCAACCTGGGAGGTTTGGAGAAATCTGGGCCCCTCAGCTCTGGGTGCTGCCGGCGATGAGCCAAGGGTCGGTAGGACGGGGATCCACCGTTTTCCCCGCGACCGTCCACCGATTTAATTCCTCCAGAAATCTTCTGGCCCATGGCTACAATGTAAGGGCTGACAGAAGGAAGGGGGAGGAAAGGGGAGTGTGGTGTTTGAGCAGGTGGATGCTGCGCTGAGTGGAGCTTGACGTTACCTCATCAATGCGGTGGAGCTGGGAGAGAGTTCCTAACTGGAGAGTGGTGGAGGGTGATGAAGGAGGAGGTGATGAATGAAAAATTAGCGCGATCTGTTTTCATGCCACAAATGTCTTCAGAGAGACCGAGTGGATGCCACAACTGTTGAGAGAAGGAACAGAGAAAAGAAGATTAGAAAACTGGCATTAAAACTACTTTTTTCACAGATTTTGTGTGGCTTTGTTTTGATAGGAATAAACAATGGAGACAACGACAAGCGTACACACACACACATTTCCTCTGACTCATCCTCCCAACAAACTAATGTGCCAATACCAATAGATGAACGCTCCCCTCCAAACATTCCCCGGTTGTGCAACATTGCCCAGATTTGATACTGGCACTCTCTCTGTTTGGTAATGTTATTTTAATGAGTATCGCCTTAGCTTGCACAAATATCAACAAGATGGAAGAAAAACAAAGACACCAGGTAATAATTTATCTACAGTTGAAGCAGTTGAAAAAGTCTGACTGACTTAAGCTTAGCCTAAGTTGATAGAAGTCCATTTGTATGACAAATAGTAGCAACCAGTTTGTGTTCTGTCATCTACCAATCTGTTCTCTTCATTCACAACAAAACCTGATTCTTATAATGAATAACTGTAGTTGATATTGTGGTTTGATGTCATTTTTTGTGTAATATGTTAGTTTCCTGTGAGGATGTTTTAGTTCTGTTTTTCATCAGTTTCATTTTGGGTCATTTGTGGCACTGTGTTAAAAAGAACAGATCATATACATAAAATGTATGTTAAACATTAATTTCTTTTGTTGGTGGAAAATGTATCTACTTTACTCACGTAGACTAAAATTAATTCTCAACATCTGATGAAGCTACATCGACTATAATCTCACACAACAACAGTTATGTGTGGTTCAACTGACGTAAAATGATCTCTTCCAGGAACAGCAGCTTCCTGTTCATAGGACAAGAGACCGTCAAACCACAGACAGACAGGGAAGTGGACGAGGAAACTCTCCACAAGCCGCTTTATTCTTACGTGTATGCTGAACTGAAGCTACTTCTGGTAAACCTGACTCATAGCTCGAAAGGAGCGATACATTATTTATGTATCAACACTTCATTGCCTATGAATTCAAAAAAGAAGTGAAAGTATAAAAGATAAAGTCTCAATCTACACATGAAGCCAATTCAATAAACCAAATACAAAATTTACATTTAAAACGAAGTCCACTGTATTTCTCTGACACGTCAAGAGCAGTGAGTTTATTATAAAAATATGTTTTTATATATAACTAGGTGTTGATGACACAAGCAAACATATTCCTATCAAGACAGTCAGTTACCGCAGAGTGAGGTCACAGTGTCAATCTCACACACACACACACACACACACACACACACACACACACACACTTCTGTTTCATTTTGACTGTTAACATTTTCCCCGTTCTCTCTTTATCTCTCACTGTGAATGAGGTCATTGCAGCTGGCAGACAATATGTGCCACTGCTCAGCCAGTCCTCAGCACAAGAGGGGTCAGTGCTCGGACAGCTGCCTCACTGTGTGTCACCACGGCTGGCAGGTGGGTTAAGGCTGGACCATGCATGGAAGTTTCCTCGAGTCATGTCTGCCAAACTTCAGCCAAAGAAAGCACAATTAACACTTTACAGACTCCCAGTGTGTGTCTGAGTGTGTGTTTCAGCTGGCACCGCATGCAGATGACAATCTGGCATTACTGACTGTCATCAAGGAGGCACTTGACCCTGGACCCTGTGTCGTCACGGTCATCGTTGCGTAGTAACATCTCAAGAGGCGGGTGGTGGGCTGTTGCCGTGTTTGCTGCTGCAGATAGCAGCAACATGCTTCCACCATCTGTTGTTTACTCTCGCTCCCTACATCTCTCTCTTCTTCTACAGCCAACTCATTTAGGACCAAACGCACTTGCTCGCCCTCCCCTCATCTGTACTTTCTACTGAGTTACGGAGGAGACAGAACATCACATGGTGTCACACATGCAAAGGTCTTGGGATTGTAAGAAAATTGTGAAGAATTACTGCATAGAAAATCACAATTTTAATTATTCCAATTTCACTTCACTTAATTTGTCCAACTAACAATCTGCATAAGATAAAGATAAGCAGGGAATCCTTAGGCCAAAATGAGAAAGTACATTAGCTTTCACATAATGAGTTAGTTCTGTAGATCAACTAATTGACTTATTGTTTCCTATGTACTATGATTTTCCAATAAGTTATGTCAAAACAGAGATTACATGTATGTTAAAATCCTCGTCTATAAGTGGAAATAGATTGCATGAGGAGGCAGAAACATATGGACAGCAGTGTGCACCTGGTGTGTGGGCTGGCTTCATCTGGCTTCTCCTACTGCACAACTAACAAGCTCCAGTCACTAAAAAGCTTGTGCGGGTGTCTTTGTGTGTGTGTAACATTGCACAAGAGGAAGACACATGTATGTGTGTGTGTGTGTCTGCCTGATGACTGTCTCATTTAAAACTGTCCACCGAGCTCTGACTGGGGCAGACAGACTTTGAAGTCCCACACACACTCACTTTGCTTAGGAAGCTCAGAGAACACACCAGAGATGTGTGTGGGCTTTTCCCACAAAAATCATGTTGAGGATCTAAAGCTCTGTGTCTAAATATGAACTTATGACGAACAGAAACCAGGATTTCTAGGTAATGTTGAGCAGTATGTAGTGTATGTGTGTGACTGTTTTTTATTGTTTAAGTGGGCCAATCAAGGACAACCAGTGACCTTCAAGGCCCCAGAGAATCAGGACTATTAGCTACACAGTCATCCCTCCTCCATGTGTTGTGCTGTTTCCTCTCATCTAATTCTTGGCCAGAGAGCTAATAAACATCACTGTTTCCCATTAATTACTTAACCCAGGGGTGGGGAACCTCCAGCCTCTGAGCAAAAGAAGCAACTCAGAAGAAAAGTTTTTATATGTGACAAAAGAAAATGATAGTAAATAAAATAGTTGGACATGTCTCTCAGGATGGTCCCTTCTGTCTCTCAAAGTCAAGGTGGACACGAAATTCATCATGCCCACTTCCAAGAAAAGAAACATGGAAGTGGATTGTAGCTCTTTCCAAGAGAAATGGAGAAATATTCTTCTGTTGAAGTAAAAGACAAGCTTAGCTAGTTTGTGGAGACACGCTCGCAGTGATGAAAAAGGCCAATCTCGATCATCATTACAGCTGCAAACATGGTGAACTGCAAAAGTGGCAAGGACAAATGTGCTTGGATTAAGTCAGTGGAGTATGTGCGCTCAACAGGCAGCTTTTACAAGACAACACTCTGACAGAGACAATGAGATGCACGTTTTTCACAAAGTCTGCAAAAGCATGCACATCCAAACTGGATAAGCACAAGGTGCTGAGCACAAGCGACAAAAGGCAGAAGACAAGAAATGTCTTCACACTAGTTGATGCTCCCACAAATGTATAAATTACCTCCCAGGTAACATCTCAGACCAGCACGCAGGCAGGTTTTGCATGAGCAGGTCAATAGCAAATAAGCCGAAACCTCGTTCAGAAGGAGAAATCATGACGGAGTCTCTTGTTGACCATTTTTTTATATTGAAAGATTGCTGTCTTTGCAAGCTGTGTGCTGCAGCAAGTGCAACTGTAACACTTCTCACTTTCCTGCTCTGCAAGAACAAACGGCTGCTCTGACATCTGAATATGCGATAGAGTTTGCAAATGCCTTCAGTCGATTGACGAGAGCTTTCAGGACCTGAAAAGTAAACAAAAGGCACTGAACATATTTGCATGCTGTTTAATGTGGCAGCTGCTGATGTGCACGACATCCTGCAACCCAAAATCAAACCTCCCCAGGCAGGGACCACCACAGATAGAAGAGATAGAGGAATATTTCCCAAAATGTCACTGTATTCATTTGACACAATTTTATTCCTCATAAAGAAATTACGCAATAAAACATTTTATACTTCTGTTTCAGTTATCACGTTCAGCAGTTTCATCCAGACATACTGAGGTGTCTGGCTTTGTCTACATGACTTTAAACGTACAATATTCAACTTCGTGCCACCAGGGGTCTCTCAATCTACACATAAACAAAATACTTAGTTTGATTATGATGTGAAGCAGCACAGGATTGTGGCAGTTGTTGACTTTACCACCATTACCAATGAAAATCTACCTGGCGCGACTCAGGCGCAAATCATGTTCACGGATGAGGTAATGTGTCAAGGTTTTATTCACGTTACACAGCAAACTGAAACGAATAATCATGATCCATTACGAGTGACCAAAACAAACTGGCTAGCAGTGTCTTCTTCCTTCATCATGCATTGTTTGCCACAGAAGTTACAGCAGACATACAAAGCCACGGGTAAAGCTGACATGACACAATTAATTGGAACCTCCAGTTTCTCTAAACTGTTGGAAACATTTTTGATAATGCAAGTACACAAGTCAACAAATTATATAACGTAGGTCTAGTGTTTCTCGACATTAGAAGTAGAATTTGGATATTATATTCATAAGTAAGCAGTTATTAACGTGTAAATACAAAAATATGCCACTTGCTGATTGGCCAAGCATGAAATTCAACATGAAATGCTGCAGAACTCTACTAACAAGGAAACCATTTTGAAGTCTGAGAAGAGCAAAGGCCAAGCTAATTTTCTCTGCATCATTATAACAGATTGATTGTAGTGTTTTGCTCATCCCTCTCCTCTTGTTTTGCCTTTCTACACAAAGACTTATACTCATGGGCCTAAATTTAGACCATATCACTTCATCCCCACCATTACATAACTGATTTAAAAACCACTGCGACCTTATTTGAACTTTAACTGTCATGCTCAATTACATCCACTTTGCCTCAATTCCGATGACGTCTGAGATATGAATCACAAAGTGGTAACTTCTTCCACTTTCCAATCCTGGAGGGGACAATTGGGCAACATATTGTATAAAAAGCAGTGACCCCATGCAAGATACACACACACAAAAAAAACACAAACTTACTGTATATCTCTTTAAAGCAAATGGCTGTACCCACTAGACCATCTACCATCCTGTCTACATTGCTGACATTCAATCCTGGGAACAGAGGTAGACATAAACTGTGCCATCTGGTTCCTAACATGA